TAGGGCAGCTCACTGCAGTGTGGCTTCGAGGGGCAAATGGAGCTTTGCCTGCCCTTGACAAGAGCTATTCATCTTTCTAATTCAATGTGTGTGTCACAGCCAGATGACTCCAAGATTCCAGATATTGGAACACCTCCCTAATTCCAATGGGGTGGGTTTTGGGGGGTGCTGAAACCTTCTGCTGGCTTTTCTAGCCATGTACTTATCAGCACAGAGGAGTTGGGGTTGCCTTGCCCTGTGGATTTGGCACTTCTCTTCCCTTGAGTGGCTCTGCAGCACTTGCTCTACTGGAACTTTCTGGAGTTGATGGTTTAAGGATGCCTGGACGTATTTCAGGATCATCCTGGTCCTGCCATACAGCTGGAGCTGCTGGTTTCCAGCCTTTGCTCATCATTCCAGGATGATTTACCAAGTGGAATAGGCCTAACTAGAGTAATCCTTTTAATGCCTAATGAGCCTTAATCCAACAATGCTGAGCTTTCCATTTCTGTGGGGAAAATCCACATCCTTCCAGGAGTGAGGGTCCTGGCTGGCAAGCAGCTTTCCAGAGGGATTATTTCCCTGTTTCTGATCTTGGGTATGTAGGGAAGCATGGGGAGGACCACAGGGCTTTTCCTTGTGTTTTGGGTGCCACCTGGAGAAGGGACAGGAAGGGAGCCTGGGTAACACTTGCCCCTTTCACCAGGAGCTCTGGGATGTGCCCTTGGAATAAAGATGGACACAGAGCAAGAGCAGCTCCTCTAGTTACATGTTGGACTTCATTACAGCCAAGCTGGAGAGGAGTTAGCATCCTGCTCTTCAGGAGATGAAGAGTGGTGGCTGTGGAAGGTGTTAAGGACTTTCCTCTAGCATGGTTTTCCCTGGTGTCAAGACAACTCTTTGGAGACCATTTCCAAGTGGAAAAACAAACCCTTGGAGGCGAAAATCTTTCCCTGCTCTCAGGAGTTGCCTGGAAGGTGAAATACCACTTCCCTACCCATTTTGCATGAGTGTCAGCATTCCAGGAAAGCTGTGACAAATGCCCAAATGTTCCCCATCCTTCTGGTCACACAATATTCCAAGTTGGAAGGAACTCACAAGGCTCAGCAAGTCCAACTCTTGGCCCTGCACAGGACATCCATGAGAGTCACAGCATGTGCCTGAGAGCATTGTCCAAGCATTTCTTGACCTGTGGTGTTCTAGCTCTAAGCCAGCAGCTGCTTTTGTCCATGTTTGTGCCCCAAAATTGCCATTTTCAAGCTTTCTGGAGTTGTCCACAAAGCATTTTCCTAGGAATCCTCTTAACCTCTTGTGTTTCTTCTCCCTAGAATGGCACCGTGAACTGGAGCGATGAAGGGGATGGATGCAGAGGAAGAGAAATCTCAAGAGACTTTGCCAAGGTCAGTGTGATCCTGGGGATAGGAGGAATGTGGGGGAATTCTTCCTCTGCTCCATGACAGAGGAGCCTTTCCTAGGAATGTAGGAGAAGGAATTAAACTCTTCATGCACACATCCTTCTGTCTTGTGCTCTATCCCCCTGGCTGGCAGTGAGAGCCTGACCCTGGCCCCTCCAGCCTGTCACTTTGTGGCCTCACAAGATTCTTGCTAGTTGAAAATCAGATTTTTCTGGTCCAGAAGTGGCTGTGAGATGACATTAGTGCCTGTCCCTTCTGCGAAATCAGGGAATAGTGCTAGTATATAGTTTTCCTTTGGAGTTCACTGCTTATGGAACTTTAGTTTGATTTTTGGGAGGGGTTTAAACCTTTTAGTAAGAAATGTATCTGCAGTAAATTGATTCCAGACTGGTTTCTGAGAGTTTTGAAGGCTTTGGAGTTTGTTTCAGGGGAGCCTTTCCTGCCAGGCACTGGTAGTTACAGCAAAGCTCTGGCCTTTCATCTCCTCCTTCAAGCCACTTGGAGTTTGGCACTTAGGTGACAATCCCTGAACGAGGGAATTGTGAGCTTAGGAGAAGTTGCAAAGAGGTTATACCTCCCTGATGCCACCAAGGTGCCACTGCTCTACCCTGAATCACTGTCACCTTGTTGGTTGTCGCCTTTTTCCTTTCCAGCTTGTCTTCATGGTCACCCCTTTGCTTCCAGGTGGATTCAGACCCTGCTCTGGGGCTGAAAACTGAGGGGAGGGTTGGACTTGATGACCCTAGAGGTCTTTTCCAACCTTGATCCTATGAATCCTGTTCCCTTCTGGATGCCAGGCTGTGCCTGGATGAGTTCCTGAGAGGCTGAGCAAGACAAGGGGTGATGAGGGTCCTCAAACTAGCACTGCAGCCTTGGCCACGCAGTTGCTCCTTGTTTTGCCTCTTGGCCTATGGTTTCTTTTCCCCCTGCCCAGAGCAAACAGCAGATCCCCCACTGGCAGAAGCTAACAGCACTTTTTCCTGTCTCACTGTGGATTGTGCCTTCATTTGTGTTTGTTCTTCCTCAGCTCTATGAACTGGACAGTGATCCCGAGCGGAAAGAGTTCCTGGATGACCTCTTCGTCTTCATGCAGAAGAGAGGTGAGTGAGCATGTGTATGAACTCTGAGGAAGACTGGGCAAGGATGTGGATTCTGCCCTCCTGACTTTGTGAGGACAAATCCAGGCCTTGAACTTGGAGTTCAGGTGCAGGAGCAGAGCTAAGACCTGAGATGTTTCCCTTGGGAGATGAGTGCAGGAGTAAAGAACTCTCCTGCTCTGTAATTTAATTCCACAGGCTCCAAGTCTTTAGCCTCCTACCCAATGTTGATGTCGTCCATGCCCTGACTATCCCAAGCTTGGTGTTCCCTGTAGAGTTTTGAAACAAGGCTGAGTACCTCTGGGAATTCTCTGGCATCTCTTTGAGGTGGCACAATCACACATCTGGTCATGCTGGATTTCAGGTCATGTTGGATTTCAGATGTGTGAATGCCCTCACACTCTGAGCAGTGACCTGCAAGCTGGGGATTGGGAAAACAGCCACCAAGCCACCTTTCCCTGTGCATTCCCAATGTGTCAGCTTTCCAGCTAGGAATTACGTGGAACAGAGCATTTTCCAGAAAGGAATTCTGTGAAACAGTGTGGAAGCACAGGGCTTCTCCATGTGGTGCCTGCAGCTTGCTGCAGGAGTGGAGCTGCAGATATGAGGGAACTGGCACATCATAGAAGTCTTTCTGTCCCCAAGTTAGCAAAACTCAGTTCTCATTGCAAACTCTTCCTAATTAAAGTCTATTTGTATGTGATGTCTGGTAAATTCGCCACCTCTGAGCAGTTGTGCTGCTCTCTTCCCTCAGCCCTTCAAGCCTCCTAGTTGGAGCTTTTGCTTCCAAGTTGATTAAAAATTAGAGCTGGGGGGTTTTTTTTCCTGATATTTTTGGCTTTCATGTGCAGAGGCATAACCAGACTTAATTAGTTTCCTTGCCCATGTGAACCTGAGCTCACCTGCTCAGGGCAGGGCTGGGGGGACTGACAGACAGCACAACAATCTGCAGGGTATGATTGGCAGCAATAGAAACCTCCAGAGATACCTGAAGAGAAATCTGCTTAATGCTTCAGTGTCTCCTTCCTATTCCCTTTTAATTATTTATAATTGACACGTTCCCTGTGCAGGGGCTGAGCTGGTCACCAGCTGCTTGCTGAAGGAGTTGAGCTTTTAATCAGCTGGGAATTTCCAAGGGTATTTGTTTGCTGGAGACTCCCTTGTTTTCCTGTTGATAATGAAATGGAAGAGCTCAGCGTCCATGGGGGTGAGATGCTGAGAGCCAGAGTGGGTAGGAATATTTGGCTCTGAGGGATTGGCTGGAATTCAGGGTACACAAGGCAGTTGTGAGCTTGCTTTCCATTATGCACCCCCAAAATGAATAGGCAGAAGGAGTGTGGGAAGCCAAGTCTCCTCAGGTTGATGGGAGAAATGTGTGTGTTGAGCTGTGGGAGGTGATGTCTCTCCTGTCCTTTAGCTGAGCTGCTGTGTCTTACTACAGAGGAAATATTTTGCCTTGGCGTGTTATTTTTAGGAGCTGTGTGTCCACTTTTCCCACTCCTGCTGTTTCCAGGGCTTTGGTTTGCTGGTGAGCAGGTGGACAATACCCACTGTGTGCTGTTTTGGGAATTTGCCAGCACAGTTCTCGTGGGATAATGATAAAGATTGAGGCTTCACTTGCCAGCAAAGTTCTCATGGGATAATGATAAAGATTGAGGCTTCATTCCTCCTTCCCTTGCTTTATGTGCTACCAAACATGCCAAGCCCAGGCTGAATAGCTGCCTTGTGGTGAAAGAGCCCCCCAAAATGACCTCCTTGCACCTGAGAGCAAAGTGCTGTGTTTCTTAGCTGGTACGTGTGAAGAGCTGCTTAATTTGCACCTCCTGTCTGGAGAGCAGCTCTGCCAATAAACACTGCTGCTGTAAACCAGGGGTTTGCTCTTGTCCAGGAGGAGACAGGGGCACAGAGCACAAACTGAGGCTGAAGCAAAGCCAGCCTGGTGGGAAAGATAAATGAGAGATTTCACAGAAGCTCCTGAGGAGCTGCAGGGATGAAAAGGTTTGGGTTGGTGGTGCTGCTTTAGGAATGATCCTCGAAATGGAAATCCATGACACAGCCTTAATGCAGATCAAATGTGCAGGTCTGCGCTGCCTCTGAGCACAGCAGGTTGTCACCCAATGGCCACAGCTGCAAGTGATAAAATGGCCCTTCAGAGGCAATAATGATGGAAGAGGGAGATGAGAGGGAAGCTGTAACTCTTTCTTTGTTGGGTGTTTTATTCCTTGGATGTGCGGAGGTGAATGGATCCCCCCATGGCTGTGATTGAAGGGGCAGATGGGGAGAGGAGGAGAACAGAGCTGAAGGGAGTGATCAATGTGCAGGACTGGCTGCAAACCAGTGCTGGGACAATGCACCTTACTTTCACCTTCCCTTTCCTCACCTCTTCCACAGTCTCTCAGTGCAGGTTGTCTTCCCTGGCACTGAGCAGGGATGAACAGCTCCAGCAGTGCCATCCCTCTGCCTGCATTGCTCATCTGGTGTCTGACATGCTGAGCTCTGGTTTCTCAGAAATTGAGGCACTGGCACAGGTTTCCCAGAGCAGCTGTGGCTGTACCATCCCTGGGAGTGTTTCAGGCCAGGTTGGATGAGGCTTGGAGCAACCTGGGCTAGGGGAATGCATCTCTGCCTGCTGCAAGGTGGTGGAACTGGATGATCTTTAAGGTCTCTTCAACCCAGACTAGTCTGGGAGATGATACTTTTAACCTCCTGCTGCTTGAGGTGCTGCTCTGGGGGCAGTTCTGAGGTTCAGGGCAGTTCTGAGGGCACAAGTGGAGGCTTCACTGTTAGTAGGCTGTGTCACAGGCATGGAAGCTGGATTTGTTCCAGCTGCCCCTGAGGATGCTGCAGGCAGGAGCAGCTTCCTAAGTGCATCCATTCCAATAAGGGTAATCTGTGTTCCCGCATAAAATGTGGGAAATAGAAAGATATCTTTATAAATATGGGATTTTGTGTTTATTTATATGTATAATTTCTATGTTTAAATGTGGGAAATAGAAAAATATTTATGCAAGAAATATGACTTTGATTAGTATTTATATAATCATATAGTTGTTATTTATTATTTTAAAATCAGTTTATTAGAGAAACATATATCTCTACAGCCAGATGGATCTACAGCACTTTCTTGGATCTCACTCAGCGTTAGAGATGCTTATCTTCTGCTCCTTTTCAGCTCTTTCTTACTCTATGAACACACTCCAAAGGTAGATTTTTTGTCTCCATCTCTCATTGTGAGGGCTAGAACACCCCAGACATGATGAGGTGTAACCCAGTGTAGGTGTTAGCCCTGTGGCATGGACCAAGGAGTGGAGCTAACCTGCTTTTTTTGTCCCCAAAGACTGAAGAACTTGGTTAGAGTCACTCATACATCCTCCAGTACCTGTGCTG